AGAATTACCTTGTGCTTCTCACTGCCTTCTTCTACCTTTATACCCATAATGGTTACTGAAATTTAAAAAAAATGGGAATAAGTGTTCAGAAAGTGACTGTATCAAAAGTGCGTTTACGCGAGTTTAAAAATTAGTGTCTGTGAACATTTATGTAGTGCTCTCTATAAGCACAAGTGGTGTTTACATCGATTTAAAAAAGTTGTTTTGACTATGTTCTTATTTATTTGGCGACTTTTAATGACAAACACTAAATTAAATGAGTTTAAGGATTTGTTTCTACATTTGTCGAATATTCTCAGTGTCGTGTTAAAGAAACTCTGAATTTTCATTTATCTTTTGATTGTTTTTTATTGCTGATAATAGAGCTAGATCATTTCATCCTCACATATGTATGTATATTGGTTGTAATCCAAGTTTATGGCGAGAAAAATGAAATGTTCTAAAATGGTAAAATGATTTGAAGTAAATTAGTTATCGATTTCACAAAGAGCTACAAATTATAAAAAAAACACTTGGCGACTATGCAACAGAGAGAAGAAGAGAGACATGTATACGGCCTTTAAAATTGTGGTTTTTAACATGTAAAATATTTACTTTAATATTCTAATCTGTATATACTTACAAAGACTCAGTTGTAAACCACATTCTTTGATACTTGTAAAAATATCCTGTTCACCTTGTCCAGCCAATCTTGTTAGTTTATTCTTCAAATTTTTTGCATTCTCATTGAAGTAAGGAAACAAACCAGTGATATTATTATGTGCAAGAAAAGGGCTTATAGCCTTGCGATTGGTTTTCCATTTCTTTGCTGTTCGTGAGAGAAATAAAAAAAAAACGTAAGGAAAATATATACCTATATGCTAGACGTTATGCGCCATCACACCTGGACTCACGATGATACCACTTATTGCACCGTCGGCAAAGTGTGTATAAATGTCTCTGGCTTTGTTGAGCAACTCTGGTGAAGTTGTGACATGTTTGATAACCTCAGGATCGACGGTAAGGATATACGGCGTTGTTGCCAACCATACGCAACCCGTTAATGTCTTCATAGTATCAAACCCAGCACTAACTTTATGGAGCAATTCTGTAATTGTATGTTAATTAAATCACTATTAAGTTCCGCAACAGCTTTGTGGCAACAACAACTTGCCGCAACACTTACTCCCCATATCAATCACATGATAGGCTTGCCAATAAAAGGAATACCACCAATGGTAGGCAACTTTGAAGTTACATTGCGATAGTATTTTTGCTTTTGCTGCAAGCGCCAACTGGCATAAAGTAGGAGAATAATTGCCGTTATAATCAGCGTTTCTATTCCAATTAAAGCACTCATTCTGGCACTGAGAAGCTAATATAAAAACACCACGATTCAGCAGGAAATATTTAATGAGAAGAACGGAATCCAAAGCGGGAAAGCTTTTATATAGATTTCATATTTACTTTGTTGGCTAAGAATAACATTTGGTTTTTATTGTTAAGCGGTAAAATCGGATGTGAAAACAATTAACTACAAAAAAAAAAGCAATCGGATGATATTATTGTGGCTATTTATAAGTTTTATGATTTATTAAGGTAATATATACAGGTTGGTGAAAAAGTTTCTGCTCTCACCAAAAGATGGCACTACTGGCTCCAATTTTTTTTGTCAAGTTGGTACATCTGTGAGAACACATGCAAAGTTACAAGTCATTTTGTCAATTAGTTCTTTGTTTACAAGCCATTTGAAGTATGAGTATTTCTTTAATATGGAAAAAATTGAATATCGCGCAGTGATAAGATTGTTTTGAAAGGTTTACAAGCAAAGAAAATTTATGAACAATTGTTAGAAGTGTATAAGAAGTTATTATCCTCAAATTGAATTTTGGGCTGGCAATTTAAACGTGGTCGTACTTGGCGTGAAGAGATCCACGCGAAGGACGACCAAAACCGCAACCACACAGAAATCATTGAGCAAGTTCATAATGTTATGAATCAGTTTGACTAAGTGTAATTACTAATGCATAGCATTAGCACGAGTACTTCATATTTTGCATGGATAATTACAAATGAAAGAGCTGTTTAGAAAGTTAGTGTCGCAAACGTTAACAATTCAATAAAAACTGGATCGAAAACAATTTTCTCAGCATAATTTGGAGCGTTCTAAGCAGAATAAAACTGATTTCTTGCGTAGTTATATTTATAAACATGGATGAGACTTGGATATACCACCATGATCCTAAATTGAAACAGGTACATTTACAGTGGACTGAGGCTGGTTGTTCAGCTCCAAAGCAGGTGAAGTCACGGCGTTCAGCAAAGAAAGTTATGGCATCAGTTTTTTGGGATGCAAAAGGAATTTTGTTGATTGATTATCTGCAGGAAGGTAAAACAATCAACTCTGAATATTAATGTAGCCTTTGGATCGGCTGGAAGAAAAAATTTGTGAAAAAAGATCTGGTTTGTAGCACAAAAAATCATTTTTTATAAACACAATGCAGATGCTCACAACGGTGTTTTAAAAATGACAAAATTCAACGAATTAAAATACGAAGAGCTACCGCATTCACACGATTTGGCTCCCAGTGACTACTACAACTTCAGAAACCTGAAACAATTCCTTCGTGGAAAGCGTTTCTCATACAGCCGTAGACAGGTATTTTGCAGAGCTTTCGGAAAGTCATTATAGCGATGGCATAAAATTATTGGAAGAATGTTGAAATGCGTGTATTGAAGTTAAGAGAGATTATGTTGAATAAAAAAATATATTTCGTATCAAAAACAGTATTTTTTCATTTCGAGCGCTAAAACTTTTAAACCAACCTGTACATATACCAATAAATATACAAACTGAAATTTAAGCAGAAACAAGTAGGGAAGCGCTAAGTTCGGTTGCAACTGAACATTTTCAGTTAGTCAGGTCAAGTCAGGTGGAAAGCCAGAAAATATTAGGTCAAGTAAAAAGTTCGTTCGGTTTTTATCTAAGAGATGGCGTTATTGTCCATAGCACTAGTGTTAGGTTGTCTTTCACAGTTTTTCGATTGATTTACTCAGTTCGTTGTGAGCGCTCGTCAAAGATGGACACCAACAAAGAGAAAATTCGCTATATTTTACAATTTTTCTTCGATCAAAGCGAATAAGCAGCCAAAGCGGCTGAAAACATTAATTTCGATACTGTAAACGAACGTGTAGCACAAAAGTGATTTGCTAGGTTCCGTTCCGGTAATTTCGATGTCAAAGATGCACCACGCGTCGAGAGGCCTGTCGTCGAAAATTGCGATAAAATCATGGAAATAGTGGAAACAGACCGTCACGTGAGCACTTATTTAATTTCTGAGGAACTAAAGATAAGCCAGAAAACCGTTTGGAACCATTTGCATAACCTTGGATTCAAAAAGAAGCTCGATGTTTGGGTGTCACACGAACTAACGCAAAAAACATGATGGACCGAATTTCCATCTGCAAATCGCTGCAGAATCGCAACAAAATCGACTCGTTTCTGAAGCGGATTGTGACTGGCGATGAAAAATGGGTCACTTATGACAACATCGAGCGCAAACGGACGTGGTCAAAGCTCGGGGAAGCGGCCCAGATGGTGGCTAAGACCTGATTGACGGCCAGGAAGGTTTTGCTGTGTGTTTGGTGGGATGGGCAAGGAATCATCTACTGCGAGCTGCTCCCCTATGGCCAAACGCTCAATTCGGCCCTCTACTGCCAACAACTGGACCGCTTGAAGGCAGCACTCATCCAGAAGAGGCCATCTTTGATCAACAGAGGCCGAATTGTGTTCCATCAGGACAACGCCAGGCCACACACGTCTTTGGTGACTCGCCAGAAGCTCCTGGAGCTCGGATGTTCTAATACACCCACCTTATAGTCCGGACCTGGCACCAAGTTGGCCTCAAGAAAGGCCTGTGAAAATTGGCTCTCCGAGTTTTTTGGCAATAGGGACGCAGTCTTTTACGAGAGGGGTATAATGAAGTTGGCATCTCGTTAGCAACAAGTTTACGAACAAAACGGCGCATATTTGACTTAAATCGGACAAATGTACACAAAGTTATCATCTTTTGAAAAATCAATAAAAAACCGAACGAACTTTTTACTTTACCTAATATTATGTAAAGTATAATATATTGGGGGCAACATAGATTATTAACTTTTGACATTACACAGTTATACTCGAGAACATATTTTCAAGCAATTTTATAAATATATTATATAACTCACACACTGACAGAAATATTCGACAACCTGAAGTAGAAGTAGGGTGCGTTCGAGATGACAATCACGACAGCAGTGTTGCAAATTTGTCAAAGTATCACGTTCTGCGTGAATTTTTGGCAACACTTGCAACAGCATCGTGTTCTGCTGTCATTTTTTGCACGCAATTTATGCAAATAATCGGCAACACTAAATTTTTGTCTGCACATCAGCAGAGTATCAGCAAATATGCAACACGGTAGCTGTACTGCTGCAATTATTACTTAGCTCGAACGCACCCGTAGTGTAACCTGGCTTTATCCATTTTTGATATTAGTATATATTATTAATAGAAGAAGATTCTCTCTGAGTTACATTACGGTACCTCAAATAACATCATGAATATACAATATAAGGAGAAAAGTCACCGGATGATTGAAAATCTTGATATTACTTGTAGCTATATGGGGGTTAAGGCAAGTTTTCACTCGATTTGATCCATTGAAAATCTTGATATTAGTTATATGGGAGCAAGTGCAAGTTTTCACCCGATTTGATCCATTTTAGGCGCACGGATACACTATTCCTACAACGCTATCTCAATTTCATTAAAATAACTCACATATTTGCTGATATATGCGGTATAAAGTCCAACGAAAGTTCAAAAAATTTTACATTTGCTATATCTTGGATGCATATTTTCCTGTCCCTGATGCTCTTATTTATTAAGTTATCGCATATTTAGTAGTTATCAATATACCCGTTATATGGGATCGAACGGGATTTTAATTCAATTTCCCTGTTTTTCACTTCAAAACGGCTTGGTTGATTTAGCTGAAGTGGTTTAGGAGATATGTACATTAAATCTTTTAGGGGGCAGAGCCACACCAACTTTTTCAAAATGTTTCAAACCGCACATGCCCCTCCCTAATGCGATCCGTTGTAACAAATAACAGTGTCGTATCTTATTGTGAAGCTTAGTTATAGCATTTAATATATTGTCGATTGCGTTTTTGGAATGCCAAAAAAAACGTATACCAAGTTTCATGAAGATATCTCCATTTTTACTTAAGTTATCGCTTGCATGAACGGTCGGCCGTCCAGACAGACAAACAGTCACTCGGCACTCAACTCGTCTCGTCGTTATGATTATTTACATTTATATAACTAGGTATCTATCTCGATTAATGTTGGCTGTTAAAAACAACCGTTAGGTGAACAAAACTGGAAACTACTTTGTAGCAACATATTGGCGAGAGTATAAAAAGTGTAATATGTAAAGTTTTTGCAAGTGGATGCTTATTAAAATTTTTATGGTCCCACATTTTAAATATTTTAACGAGTAAAATTGTGTCATGGCCCATGCATATGTATATACTTTGAGCATTTAAAATACATAAACTTATGAATGGCAGTTCTATATAAATTTTTTAATTTAATGCCATATATAGTGCATAATATGCAAAAATATAAATATTATTTAAACTCGCTAATAGGTCATGTTGCCAATTCTCCTTTCTGAAGTGAACATCGATAAATTCTTCAATTTCTGATTTTTAGCAAATGTTGTGGAGGAAGCAGCTTGTAAATACAAATGCGAGGGGATGGTAGGATTTTCAGTGGTGGCTGTCAAATTGTAAAATTGAATTTTTCTCGTTTTACTCAATTCATTTTATAAACTTAAATTTCGCATTAAAATAGAATTCAAATATCAATTCATAAAAGGGTTATAAAATAAAATATATGATTGATTTGAACTTAGGCTCACGTTGCAATAAAGAATAATCTGAACTCAAACGGCTATTTTTTTACTTGCTTCATGTATATATAGTCTATATGTGAATATTCTTGAATTGCCTTCCTTCATTCGCATGTTCAAATATATTTGCATATATGTACACATATGTAATATATGTATGTCCCTCAATATGTCTTTCGCAAAATCAAACATTCGCGCAAGTGACAAAAACGTAGACGCACCATCATCGGCAATAATATTTAAGCGAACTCGCGGCTTATTTTCTAAGTATTTCATATTACAACGACAACAAATTATTCATAGAACGTGCGTCTGTTTCAAAGCAAGTTCGCTCGTTCATAACTCTGCGTCGTATTTTTCGTGCCCGGTGTTACATTTGGTTTTCATATAGAATTCTAGCATATGCGAAATAAATGAAATGAGTAAAACGAGAAAATTCAATTTTACAATTTGACAGCCACCACTGAAA